GAAACGGACGGAGAGAAGCAGCAAAACAGCTTTTCTATTCAAGAATAAAAAAAAAAAAAAAAAAAAAAAAAAGGGTCAGTAAAATTTGGGGACAACCATCTATAAAAAGGGTCATACTCAAAAACAGTGGAGGGGCCTATAAATATCCAATTGGATCATTCATGATTCATTATAACCTACTATATTTTAATTTATAGAGCAATATAACAGGATTACTCATTATAGATCAGCAGATAATAGGGGAAGTGAACACTGGAACTGGAGGCCTCATTGAGTGTATTGACATGCTGAAGCTGTGCTTAACCCTTTCAGGGACAACGGTTACTACAGTGGACAGTTTATCATGTTATCAGATTACAGGGTGCATGAAAGAATTACGGCTGTTTTTTAATACGTCATACTGAACATGCAAACATGACAGCAGTAGATTTTGAGCAAGGTGCAGTGAAATTAAATGTAGGCTTTACTCAAGGATCATTGAAATAACACAAATGTCCATGAACAAATATACGTAGTTTATTCCTTTATTCTGTTACAAAAGCATGATGACTTCCTTCCAGGACACTTTGACTAGAAAAAAATACTTCTCCAATTTCCCCACCTCCTATTAACATATTAACTATCCCTTCTGTAAAGTTAAATAAAACATAACAAATAAAAAAAAAAAAAAAAAACAAAACAAAAAAAAACAACCTTTTTATGATTGAACCGTAAGTAGAGTCTCAGAATAAAATACTGTGAAAAAGGAAAACAAAACATGGGAAATATTCAAGTTGTGTTAAATTACTCACACTTCAAAATACAAACAGGAAATCATTTTTAAATATCAACAGTGAAATAAAAATAAACCCCAACTGGATTTAACGTTTCCACAGATTTTTGCACATTGTTTTTTTATTTTGTTTTTTTTACACCATTCAAAGTGTGAAACATTGGCAATCCAACTCTCCTCTATAACACATACATTGAGTTTTTTATTTTTTATATTGATATTTTTTTTATATAAACCTGTGATGGCATATAAAATCTCTGAATATGAATCCTCCATTGAAGAGTGGTGTGCTGCGACCGAATGAATTACAACAGCACAATAAGACAGAAGTAAAGTATGCACGCAGTTCAGTTACATAGAGATGTGATTGCAAAGCAAACATCCGAGAGAGGAAATTGTGTTTATATACATCATAGGCGCTGATATGTATGAATTTGGGGAAACTGCTTATTTATCATTAACGGTAATTTGAGATCTTAAGTTCTAAATTTGATATTTTGGAAATGTGAAAATGAAGAACAAAACAACAGACATCGTATGAGGAAGAAGCGACAGTATCAGGTAGATGGTGCTGTAAATGATATGGCAGCAAACATCCAATAAGACATGCAGCCACAACCTTCATAGTCACCTTCAGGTAAAAATCACAGCTTTAGGTATGAACAATTTGCCGTGTACAATGTATTCCAGAGTGATAAATGACTGTAATTTCACATAGCGCTTTGCTTTCATCTACTTTGTCTGAGATTCCACTGCAGTAACTGTTCAAGTGGAGAGAGGGCTTGGAAAGTACTTAAATATACATTCTGCCCCAATGCCAAACTACCCCCCCCCAAAAAAAAAAAAAAACAGCCTCTGACTTTCATTGCATATTCCAGTGATTGCCAATTAGTGTGCTTCAGGTGTGCCACGGGAAATTATCCAATGTCAAACTTTATCATTTAGGCGAACAATAATTTCATCCATCCATTATCCTCAGAAGGTGCGCTAGAGCCTATCCCAGCCGTCTTCGGGCAGCTGGTTGCCAGCCAATCACAGGGTACACATAGACAAATAACCATTCACGCTCACAATCACAGCAAAGGACAATTTAAAGTGTTCCATTAACCTGCCATGTATGTTTTGGGAATGTGGGAGGAAACCGGAGTACCCGGAGAAAAGCCACACAGGCACGGGGAGAACATGTAAACTCCATACAGGACGTCCGGAGACGGTAATTGAACCCCAGAGCTCTGTGCTGTGAGGCGGAAGTGCTAACCAACCAACCACCGTGCCGCCGAAAAAAATATTTGTTAATTGATCTATGCCAACCACGTATCGAACAATCAACTGATTTTCCACGAGGTCACAGACAGTACACAACCTGTGGATGTACTTTCGGTGAATCGTTTTGCTGTGAGCTGCGTATTTCAAAGTGGTGTGCCATGACTTTTTTTTTTTTGTGATGTAAAATACAGTATTAGCCTTGGATTGATATCCACCCATCCATTTTCCGATTTGCTTTATCCTCACAAGGGCCGTGGGGGGTGCTGGAGCCTATCCCAGCTGTCTTCCGGCAGTAGGCGGGGGACAACCTGAAATGGTAGCCAATTGCAGGGCACACAGAGACAAACAACCATCCGCACTCACACTCACACCTAGGGACAATTTGGAGTGTTTAGTCAGCCTGCCATGCATGTTTTTGGAATGTGGGAGGAAACCGGAGTACCCGGAGAAAACCCACGCGGGCCCGGGGAGAACATGCAAACTCCACACAGGGAGGCCGGAGCTGGAATTGAACCTGGTATCTCTGCACTGTGAGGTCAACGTGCTACCCACTGGATCACCGGACCGCACCTTGGATTAATAAAGGATGGGAAACACTGGCATATACAATGTGTCACCTACATGGTAATTTCTACTTCGTTATTGCTAAAGTGGTAATTGTAGAATCTGAAACTGTAATTAGCGCCTGACACACGCTAAGAGTCAGGGTTTAACCTACAATAATTCTGTTTGATTGTTTAATTGTCCCCTCATTTTTAGATGTGATTTGACATTCAACTTATTGAGTTACAATTTATCAGCATTTATTGTATGAAGAGGAAGTGAATTTTTTTTCATAAACACATCAACAAGAAATATTGAAAGGGTTCAAGAACTTGGTGTTTTGTAGAAAACTCCCATTACAAAAAATGGAAGAAAATGTGTTTGTTTCAATGGATTACTCAATATTTTTTGTTACCTGTTTTATTTTCAAACTTTTCTAAACAGCACTGGAATATTTACAAAAATTATGGAAGTCCTTCACAAAATGTTTTGTTCTTTTCATTACAGGTAAATTGTTTGAAAGGGCTCTATTGTCTCGTGGGTCCCGTTCAGGAAATTGTATGCGAATACTTTGCCTTGGAAAAGTAGTCATATGCAGTGAACTTTTTCCACATTTTTTCACCTTACAAAGACCAACTTCAATGTTTTTTTTTAAAAATTCAGATTTTATATGATCAGCTAACACAAAATAGCACATCATTGTGAAATGGAACGGAAATGACCCATTGTTTTCAAAATTTTAGGCAAATGCAGAAGTGAAAAGTGTGGTGTGCATTTGCATTCTGTTCCCCTGTGTCAATACTTTGCAGAGCCACCTTTCGCTGCACCTAAATTGGCCAGTCTTGAGATGTAGGCGTAGGTCATACTTCTTTATCTTTTCCAATTGTTCTTTGCAAAAAAGCTCAAGATCAGCAAGAGCGTTTGTGACCAGTAACTATGAATATTCTTTGATTTAAACCATTGCAACTCTCTTCCCAATCTCAAGTCTTTTGCAGCATCCAACTCATTTTCTTCCAGGCTTTCCCTGTATTCAGCTTCCCATCAACTCTGACCAGCGAGCTTCCTGAGCAGCAGTGTTCTTTTTTTTTGCCAAACATAGTGCTTTGAAAATCAAAAAGAGAAAAAGAAAAAAGAAAAGAAAATCAAACTTTGGTCTATCTGGCCAAGGCGCCTTCTTCCCCCTATTTGCGGTGTTCACTATATGGCAAACAGGACTTCTGCCTTTCTCCTTGCCACTCTTTGTAAATGCCCAATTGGTGGAATATATAATTCATAGTTGACCCGTGGACAGATTCTGCAACCTGAGCGGTGGATTTCTGCAGTGCGTCCAGAGTGACCATGGGTCTCTTAGCTGCTTTAAGCTTCTCTTCAACTTAATTCCTTGACCGGTCTAGGTCTGGATACAAATGCACACCACCTTTTACAAATGTATATTCAATGCTAATTTAAAAACCATAAATCATTTTCATTCCACTTCACAATTAAGTGTTACTTTGCGTTGATCTATTACGTAAAATCCCAACACAATACTGTACTTTCAACTTTGTGATTGGTCACAAAATGTGCAAAGATTCAAGGAGTATGAATACTTTTTCAAGGCGATGTTGCAGCACTGCCCAAACCCATTTAAAAATCACCTCATATGGACGACAGCGAAGAATCAGCGCGAGCGCTCCATCTGATTCCAGTAACACTTTTTGCCAGTAGATTTCTTTGCACTTCAACATGTGCTGCTAGCAGATTTCAGAATATAGCCGTGACACATACCGGAAATCTCACAGCAGCAGAATACAGTGTAAGGTCACTCATAGTCACTATATTGCGCCATTGTGCCTTCTTCTTTCTGAAAAGGTCAGTCTCCGAGCAGCACATAAAACCTTTGTGCATACAAATAATGGTTCTATGGCGCAACGACAAGGCATGATGTGTTCCATGAGGTGTAGCAGCAATGCATGTTTTTTGTAGCATCAACCTTTAATAGTGAGTGAATCAACTCAACTACACTCTTTACAATGCATCAGTGCAAGCCACATACTTAAAACTATGCTGCACAGAGCACTTGGTCCTCCCGACATCGACATGGAAGTGTGAAAGAGTACAGGCATGTCCGCAAAAAAAAAAAAAATTTGTAGCAGTCACAAGTATTTGCCTTCATCACCACATCAGTGCAAAGACACCCCCTCTGCCACTGGAAAGCATCAAGGTAGAACAGGGTCAGCAGTAGAGGAGAAAATATTTCACGCAGACTAAAGTCAACAACTCCATTGCAATGGCACAATGCAGATGGCACACTTAAGAATAAAGTTTCGTTTTTGTCTTTTTCCCCCCCCCACAGCAGAGAACACGATAAAAAAATTGCAAAAACACACCCAAATTCTTTATTGCAGCACACTTCCTCGTCTCTCTCTCTTTCTCTCGCTTTTTTTATATCCACATATTAAAAATGTCTTGAGTCTGTAGGTTGTAAGGAACGTTTGCAGAGTGCATTTTGGCAGTAAGTGAAATCTTGTACGAATTGGGCACAGCCAGGAGAATTGATGGGTCAAACCACACAGCCAAGATTTCTTTTGGAGGCCATCAGAGTCTTGTGCTCTTCCTGTTCCACCCTGCCCATTTCCTGTGGCCACTCCTTCTCCCCCCCGTCAGGTGATCACATTCCCGAGGCGCCCAGCCCCAGGCTGGCAGTGTGGCTCATGCATGGCAGCGTCTGAATGGTCTTGGGGAAGTCGTGGGTGAGTAGTCGTCCATTTTCTCCTCCGCTCCCATTACCGCTCATCCTGGTCAGGGTGGAGCAACGCATGGCGTCGTTAATGGATTGCTGTTGGACAAAGACACGTTACAATCAGACTGCAAAATAAAAATGATTGGGTATGTTTTGGACTATCCGATAAGAATTGACGCAATCGCTACTATGATCTTCATGATTATCAATACTGCGTATCAGTGAATTTCTGCCTCTTTGAATGATGCCAAAGCAACTATGAATATTCCCAGCAGCCGAGTGGCCTCTGCAATTCTTCAACGTAAAAGGTTTTCAGACCTTGCTGAGGTGACCGACCATCTGATGTTCCAGAAGGACAATCATAACGTTACTGAGGGCAGGTGATGAGCAATGCTTGCTTTCAGTGTTGTGCTCATTCCGCTTTTCAAAAGACAACGCCAAAATTCAGGAGGTGACGGATGTCAAAAGACAAATCAGTTTGTTGATCGCTCACTGAATTCAATGACTATCGTTGTAAACGGTATTTATCGGGCGGGAAGTAGATCGGAACCAATCCATATTTTGAGACCTGTGAAGTCCAATGAGAAGGATTTCCGTTAAAGCAGTGATGGAACACAGGCCTACGTTATGGAATATACAGATAAAGAATGTTCACCACAATGGGCCCTGCTTTGCGAGACAGTCAGCGAAAAGAGCAGAAAGAGCAGGAGACAGATTCATTTCAGAGTGACAGATGTAGATCGACGCATCACTGTAATTCAAATTGCCTCTATACCCGTCGTCCAACATGAGCTTCTGTCTATGCTATGTGTGTACAGGGTGTGTGTATGTGTGCGTATAAACACACGAGTCCCTTCACTCACAGATGCATCAACAATCTTCTGCCGAGAGATAAACATCATAGAGCGGTTTCTCCTGTATCGTTTTTTTACGATGCAAAGGTGTATACTACACGTGGTGGATATCTTTACGAGATACACAGGAGGGGAAATGGAATTCGGGATTATGCGGAATGCACAATCATAACAAAACTTTGTGGAGGGCTTTGGCACAGGCCTTAAGAAAACCATAACAGTAAGGTGCAGAGACAGAGAAGGGTGCACATCATTTTTGTCATGTTGCCAGATGTGTGCATTTGTGACTATAAATTCCCCTTAAGAACGCATATGGTATTATCTTAAAGTCAAACTTTAGTCATACGCAGTGAGTAGTTATCAATATTTCATTGAGTTGCTGATCAGTGTCAGGATTGTTTTGCCTTGATGGAGGTCTACATTCTCAATGGCATTCTCGCTCAAAAAGAAACATATTGGATCCAGTTCCTGAGATGGATTTCATGAGATTGTGCGGCCATGTGTTTTTCGTAATGGGTGAAGTCTGTATTTTATTCAAGGATTCAACTTTCTGATTTTCCAAAAAGGCCTTTCGATTCTGCGAAGGCTCATGCTATGGCTTGATTGAGTAGTGAATGCATTCATCATGATCTTCAAGTGAGCCCAGTTCAAGGCTTATTGATTTTGTCCATAAATATAAATTTGCCTCAGAGATAAATCATCTTGTACTTGGAAGTACTTGATGTTTGGCGCTAACAGTTGAAACAGGTATGAGGGCAATCTTGAATTAAGAGATTCGGGACATCTGCAGGCCATCAGTAACACGAAAACTTGACGAGGGAGCGACAGAAAGAAAGAGAGGTACAGGAGAGCTTTTGAGCTGCGGTGGGAGGCCCGACTGTGGCCACGGTTAGATGGGCGGGGGGATGAGGAGGCAGATGTCGTCATCATCATCATCATCATCATTATCATCATCATCATCATTATGGCTTAATCACAGCATTTCCTACCCCGTGGCTGTGCTCTGCCCTTATATCTTAACAGTGTTGTTGGCGTACAGGCCGTAGCTCTGCAGCTCTGTGTAGGGGGCGCTAGCACCACTGTCTAAGGCTGAGCAGTGAAAGGCCTGAGCAGCTGAGGCAGCAGCGGCTCGTGCGGTTGACACCTTCATTCGACGTGACTCGGTCCTGGATTTGTAGCAGAACTCCACCAGTGCTACAAGCATGGCCAGGCCCAGGCCGCCGATAAGGATGTAGAAGACTCCGGCCACGTTGCTGAGGCTCAGAGCGCTCGTCTTGTCCTGGAGGAAGTGACAGGACGACGAGAGCCATATCGGTGAGCAGAGATTTTGGAGCGCAGCAACAGACAACATTGACATTTACACACTCGTGATTGACTGAGCACGGTCCAATTCACACATATACACGTATAGAATTACGTGGGAGAATGCTTTCATACCGTCCTGCGCATTCATATATATACATTGAAAAAAGTATAACTGCTGTCGTTCGTTCACTTATTTTCAATTCAAATTGTTTAAAAATATTAGGTTGTTTCTTTCAAGTGACTTCATAATTTATATTTATGGTTATGTTTTTTTTTTACTTTGATGTAATGCAAGGTACCAAATGTAATCATTTGATTTGGACCAATTAATTTTTTTTAGACTTTGATTGCGTGCATCCACAGTATTTAAAGCTTTTGGCAAAAATGGACCCGAGCAGTGACGGACGTTCATAATATTGGTAAGAAACCCCCCCTGCAATTTCATAACCTTGTGGTTAGTTTAATCATTTTTCTTTTTAACCCTATAGCTGTGCCTGACTAGATGTTATTTGCAGCCCTCGATGGAGCCGACGTCGTTCAGTCATGGTGAAAGCAGGTAGCTACACTACCTGATCGGGATGAAACCGAAAAGTGTCCATAAAATGTCAAATAGCGGGGAAAGAAGCTTCAGTATGAAGTGTGTGAACTTTTCAACTTGCTGCCGTGTTCCATGTGGTTTGTATGCTCAACAAAAGTTCGCATGCTAAATTTAACGAGCTACCTTATCTTCTTTCTTGCACTGTAAGCTCTAGAAGTAGTTTTGGTAAGCTAACTTTTGTTTCTGTACTTTCTTTTGAATGTCCTTGCCTATCATTCCAAATGTATTTAACATGATGACAATTTTAAATCTTGCAGACAAATTGAAAAACATATACTTTGTTCAAATGTACAAATTTGGCTAAACTGAAAGGATTCTTAATGTTATGTAATTAATCCAATTTAATAATTTTAAATTAGGACAACTAAAAATAACGGGTTTGCATTGCCTTAATAAATACTTGAAGGTCAAACTTTCTGGTTACATCAATTCAATATAATAGATCAAACTGATCGAAGCCTAAATATTGACCGTGATAGGTGACTTCAATATTTTTACGTTCATCCAGTCAGCCACAACATTAGGGTTGACCGCTGGAAAATGCAACACACACACACACACACACACACACACACACACACACATGCAAAATGCAAACAAACAACGATTACAATAAGAACATATTGAAGGCCTGTTTCAGAAAGCACAGCTATACAATTTAACTGGATAACATCAATAATTAATCTCACACAGATAAGGTAGTTTCAGTTCTATTGCTTTCAGAATGAAAAGCGCAGACCCAATCAATGACAATGACTGCTCTCAGAACCACAGGGGCATCTGTACAAGACGCGAGTAATAATGCAGCTTGTAATCACACTTAAGCGTTCATGTCTACACCCAGGATATTGACTGCAGATTTGAACTTCATGAAGACTTCCATTATCTGAGACACAACCATTGTGCTGTGCAACATCAGATGCCCTCACATCTCGCCGCATTGGTCAAATGCGAATTACCCGTTTTGTGAGATGAGTTATCCAGAGATACCAAATGCAAATCAGGTTATGGTTCACTGGTTTCATGACACAGGCCACACATTACATGATGCACGCTTTGGAATATATTTTTTGTAAATTACTCAATAATGCATTTCCAATGTCAATTGAATCAATGCAAAAAAGGGATTGAAAACAACTTTAGTTCTAGAATTATTAAGTCATTTTGTCATTTTTACTAATCTGAAGCGCTCCAACAGATGTGTGTTTAATATGATACATCGACAAAATATACATAATTGTTATGATGTAATTCAGATTTATATGGGAGGGTGGGAGTCAACTAATGTGTTCTGAAGGCATGACTGGCTGCAGGTTTATCAGGCTAAACTGCAGCAACATGATGATTTTTTTCAGAGTCGAATTCCTTCTGTCAAGCAACATTTCCGCTCATTAAACAATATTCATGGGGATTTGCAACCTTCCAAAGGTTTGTCCCTGTGGGCAAATACTCAGAACCGTCTTAAAAATAACATTTTCGATCTGTGTTTCGAGAAGGGTGTGTATTCCTCAACACCGTTCTAGTTGCCAGGTTGTTTCCTTGGGATAAACATTTGTTTCCCAGCAACAAAAATAATTGCATAATAAGAAGTGCTGTACTGAAATGCAAGATAGGAGGCAAATAATTCCTGAGGCATTTCCAGGGGAAATTCGATCAAATTTTTGAGAGAACAGGCCTCTGGTGGAGAGTGAAACCAGAGTGCAAACACATGCAAGCACAGTGGCATATTTGATAAGACTCAGGTTTGAACACCATTTTGTTGAAAAGTTCAGGAAATTTAATCACATGACGTTTTCGGCTTTGAGTGATTCTAGAAACTCAAGATCATACAATTACTTTTATATAAGTGGAGGACAATAATCTTGACGCAAAACTAAAACACTATTTCAAAATCATACAAACATATTTTCAACAATCTTTTAAAACATAAACAGACACGAGATTGCCCACAGAGTATGTGCCCGGATATAAGGCAAAAAAAAAAAAAAGTAAAAATAACCAAAGTCACATGTTGTCCTCTAAATGAACCCTGAATAGCAAATACAGTACCTAAAATGTGTCATGTTTCGTTGTTGAGCAACAAACAATTAGTGACCTACTTTTTGCTGTGCAGCAATTTAAAGACTATATCAGGGCTGTTCCATAGTGTAATTTTCATTTATATTGTGCAGGTAAAAGAAAATTGTCATAAGATTTAGCCTAACTGGAAACAACTTAGGGATGTTCCAGCTTTGTACACAAACAAACAAATAATCATGCAAACTAAAAAAAAAAAAAAAAAAAAAGTAATAGATGAATTATACATTTTGAGTAGACAGGGATAGAATTATTCCCCTGACCCGATTTGACTTTCATAAAGGTCACTTCAGATATTGTCATGGAAAGTTTATTTACTGTAGATAAATAATAAAAATAAAAAAGAACAACTTCAAAATGTGTACCGTATTTTCCACACTATAAGGCGCTTTGGAATAGAAGGCGCACCTTCAATGAATTGCCTATTTTAAAACAGTTTTCATATGTAGGGCGCACCACATTATAAGGTGCATACAATAGAAGACACAATAGCTACGTTCAAGGGAATACAATACAATAGAATACAGCTTTATTCATACAGAGCCTTCACAACCGCTGCAACAAAGCACGACATTTAAAATACTACGTCCAAGAAATCAGAATATTGATCCATATATAAGGTGCATCGGATTATAAGGCGCCCTGTCGGCTTTTGAGGAAAGTGAATGATTTTAGGTGCGCCTTGTAGTGCGGAAAATACGGTAGTTGTTTTTGTCTTATATACGGGCCAGTACTGTCGTAGCTACTGCAACAGTGCTCAATGTATCAGAGGCCTCTAGGCCTGGTTTTGGGACAGATCTAGGATGATCAGGGCAGGGTTGTGCTGGGAGGTGCTGTGAGAAGACAGAATCAGGATGGAGACTAACCTTTCTTCCGGAGTCCTTGTTGCCACACTCCCCTTTATCGTACCACCATTTGTTTTTCAGTTTGTCTAAGACGGCTTGCTCATTGAGTTTCAACACCGCTAGGTTTACTGGGATTCTTCCAACCACAAAGAAATAACATAAATAACATATTATACCATGTTATATTATGTTATTGATGCAGAAACATTGCAAAATACATTCACACATTAATACTTGAGCTGGGCTATTGTTAAAGAAAAGGAGAAAGTATCACGTCACACACATGTGCAGCCACACACACCCACACCCACATAAATACAGATGGCATCAACAACCTTAGGACATTTTGGAATCAAAGTGATATGCATTAATACTCCATCTAGCTCGTTCAGCTCGCTCCCTAAGGCAGTAGATGTGTATTACTATATCACTTTTGGGTAACCGGCACACTGCACACCCTCCCTTGTGCATCACTGATGCTTGAGTTGCGGTTTAACCAAAGTGGAATGCAGTCAAAACAAATGTTGCACTGAACGAGCAGATGCAGCAGAATGTCGTTTGATCTGTTTTTTTTGTTTGTTTTTGTTTTTAATGGAGGACTGGTATCGCAATGAGGGCCTGCCGGTTACCCCCCTCCCCATACACCCACCACGCACCCACTGGTGGTGGTAGGTTACCCGCAGGGTTTATCAAACTGGCTCTGACCTTGGAGTCCCCGCCCCCGCTGCCGCACTCTCCCTTGTCGTACCACCACTTGTTTTTCAATTTGTCCAAGAGGCCCTGCTCGTTCAGTTTTAACACTGCCAGGTTTACAGGGTTTCTTGAAAATAATATAAAACGATAGCCGTTAGGAGACACTCTATGCGACAGATATAACGAGGTAAGAATCATGGTGGTGGTGATTATGACAACACTGACTTAGGTGCTAATTGAAACTCCTGCATATAGCTACTGATATGAAGCAGGAGCCCTGGCTTTAAGATGCACATGTTTGGCACATGTATGTTAGTTGTACATCTGCGGTGGGCTGAAATGCTGGATGCCCATAAAACAATCGAGTCAGGTTTTACCAAGCAGCGGCCTCAGAGGGAGACGCAGCAGACACTCTAAATGGAGATGCCTTGGATGCGGAAGTCTGTCTACCGATGGCAATTTCCTTTCAGTGACGACAGCTTATACGGATCGCTATGGGAACTGACATATCAATATTCACCCCAAAGCCGCCTCCTCGTCAATTAAATCTCACAATTTATTTATCGGCAAAGTCGAATGAAGTCGGAGGCCTCGGAAATATTTTTGCACTCTCTGGCTTTAGATGAGATTTTCCAACATCCTCATTTTCCAACATCCTCATTCAAATCATCTCCTTTGTGGTTGCGCCCTCCCTCCGGAGAAGTGTGTGCATTTCCTCGTGCTAACGGCTGCCAACAAAGACACTCCCCATGCTCAAATCAAAGAAAAGAAGAATCTGCAATCAGATTTGGATTGTGACGTGAATATTTGCCAAAATTTCCATCACATTACTGTCAAATCAGTTCTCAGTGCAGCTCAATTTTTTTTGGTATCATTCTTCCTTTCTAATTGCATGCAGGAACGTCGATTTGCAACCGTAAGGTATACTTTGTACAAACCAGCTGGAGGGAACACAGGTACAATATCCTCTGAGTTGGTAAAACCTTTGAATTCTTTCTCAGCCTTGCTCTCAGACAGAAAGAAAGAAGTCAAAGTGCATGGACATGGATGCTCAGCAAGCTAGTTAGTTTGGTCACACGGTTCAAGACTATCTGATGTCGTTTCCGGGAGGTGGGATGGGATTAAACAGGCAGGCAGGCGGTGTTGGTGGCAGGAGATCATACATGTTAAAAATGTATGCATGGGGCATCAAAAGACGAATCCAAAACATATTATCGTCAGCAAAAGCAGACAGCGCCTTCTGTAAAAACAAGAGTTGTGTCATCCGGGCAAAAATTCTCAGCATATTTGCATAGCTTTCCAACAGGGATGGGCATTCGATTACATATTAATCAACAGAGATTATTCTTATTTTATTTTTATTTTTTCCAGTATCATATGAATGAGATATCTCTTTCAATGTTTGGAACGCTTATTCTTTTTTTTTGTATTGTGTATTTACAATACAAAAAGTTGCCGCAGCTGAGGCCTGCAAGCATGGAGGTAAACTCCCTCAAGGTGACCTTAATGGTTTTGGGTTTTTTTTTAGACCGCACACTAGTTGAAACCGAATCAACCACACATCTGTCGTTACAGCGAAATAGCGCACTGCATTTTGACTCAGTGGATTCGAGAGCCAATAAATCAGCAACAATTACAATGAATTGATGATGCCCATCCCTACTTTCTGAAAAAAAAAAAATGCATGCATCTCATTATTTCCTTTTGATCTGGAAAAAACACAGACCTCACTCATTTGTGTTCTCCAGATGAACAGAAAATAATACACGCATTTCAAATTACAGTACATTGATGACATTGAATAGAACAATATTCTTATCCATTGTCAAGAAAACATCAACAAAAAATCATGTATGTTGTTAATGTGCGGGTACCAAGACTTGGTTAGAGGCTCCTTGGAAGCAAAAGAATGAAACACCACATAGAGAGAGAGCTTCTGGAGGTCCTCAGCAGATATATATTTTTTAATACTGGTGAGATCAGGATGACTTTATGACTTTGAAAAAGATTTCAACACTTGACTGCACTATTGAATCAAATTTGAGTCTAATTTAAAAGATGCCGTGATTGAAGCACTGGAAGCATTTCTTGTCAGTTTTATCTGACCTTTGGCTGCGACTCAAGGTGGAAGCCCAAATGAATCCCCTGCACTTTTGAATGAAATCTCACCATGAGGCTCCTTTCATTAAAACGAACGAGCCTTATTAGTTCTGGATTAAAGGCTTCAGATGCCACTGGCTTCGGCTCTCCCTCTCTGCAGCAGCAGGAGCATGAATGGTGGTTGATGTAATGCAAAATGGCAGCTGCTGCGCTTGGACATCGATGGCAGAAGAGTGTTCGGGACACATTATCATTAGTTTCATCAATTATCACACTGAATAGGGCACATATTCAATTTGGTGGACTCAACACTCACTCGTGTGAGCCCTGACTTAAGTGGGCAGGTGACTGCGTGGGATGTGCTCCTCTTCACCGGCCTCCTGCTTTGAGGGCCTGAGCGGCTTGTGATGGATATATTTACAGGATGTTTATGTGTGTGTTTTCCTCTGAGGTTGCGTTACATGCCATTAGCTATATGTGATAGTGGTTCCATTGAGAGTACAATTCATGATCAAATCCAACCAGAAATGCTCAGAAGGAAGTGTTCAACTACACTTAAGCAGGCGCTCACAGGTTTGAGTGGATCAGTTGATCAAGACAACAAACTGTGAACAGTTTAACCAAAGGATGAACACAACTTCAATGCTATGCAAAACTGTTCCACGTGAACTGCACAATCGTGTTATAATAATGTAGTTAAAAAAAAAAAAAATTAAAAAAATATGTGATGGAAAAATAAAAAGACTCAGCTCATGCACAAGCTTCCATAAAAGGTTCCCTGAGCTTTTATCCAGCTGTGCTGCAGTGGCTGGGTTTTACCTGAGAGGGGATCCCTTGGGAGTGGCAATGCCATAACCTTTCGAGTCCAGATTCCCTCCTACTTTCATCGTGTCACAGGGCTTCCGCTGCTCTATGTACTCATTCATGGTGGATTCCAGCAAGTAGGCATACTTTCCCTTGGATTTCCGAACTCTTATGACGCCTTCGTCTGTGGTCTTGACGAACACAGATGGGTCGGCAGCCTTCATGTAGGACCACATCTTCTCAAACACAGCGATTTTAGACCTCTGATTAAAAAAAAAAAAAAAAAAAGTGTGAGATCAGGGGAAGGATACATAGTCAGTAAGAATAGTTCAGACCTGGCATTCATCATTTTTGGTCTTTGCGGATGAATATTCAAAATCTTCTTGAAGACAGTTGCATGCAGCGTACATTTGTAGAAATATGCTGTTTATTTCCGTATTTCTATCGCTGAAAGTATGATTCCATTTTTACAGTCGCCAATTTTGGAGGAATATAATAAATCATCACAAACTATGGAGAGATAGGTGGCTCTATCCAGTTTCTTTGCCACCTCACCTCATAAAGCCCACTGAGCCACAAACAACTGCGAGTGTTTTTGAATGTCGCTTTGAGGGTTCGTTGAAGGTCGCAAATGTTTGCCAAAAGGTTGCCAGACGGTCTGGCCTGGAAAAGTGTTGGCTAACGTCTGCCGACCATTTGTGAACTTTAACGAACCTTCATAAGAACGTTCGCTGCCTTCAGAAACACTCACCATTGTTCACGGTAGACGCAGCAGTCCAACCTTATAGACCAGCAATTTCTTCAAAGGGGGATTAAACCCAAATACTTTTTAAAGCCAGTATACATTGGACATATCAGTGCTAGTCAAAACAAGGAACTCTGATTAAAATTGCGTTCCCGCGATAAGAATTACGCAGAATAATTAAACAACATAAGGGGGACGCTATGGTTGGCGAAATCATTATTCGCTGCAGACGGGAAGTGACGTTGACGTGCCAATTGAGGGTTAGCAAAACTGCAAAAAAAACTTGTCTCTTCTTCGTGCTTGTCATCTCAAGATCGAATGTCTCTCCACCCTTGAAAATTACTCACAAAGCTAATGTGGTGTTTTCTGCACACTCCATCTAGTTGATACTGTTGACCAGGCATCCATAAGGTTCCGTCCAAATTGCAAAGCTCTGACTCACCATTGTGAGTTGCACAGGGTTGGATGGCCTGCTTTGGTTACCCGCGGGCTCATTTACTTGCACACCTTTATATATAAAGCAATTCTGTGGCTGCTTCTACCGATCTTTGTACTTTTAGCAGGCAGAAAAGTACACAGCCCTATTGCATTCTCAGAATCTCTTTTTGCTCTCTGTCAGAAATTGGGAGGAAGGCCTTTGGGTACTCTAAACCTACAACCTGGAATCTTCTCCAGAAAGAAATTAGTGTTCTTAAATGTTGGTAAATCTAAATTGAAAGACATGGAAACTTCCATGACTGCTGCTGCCTGTCTTGGTCAGGTCTCTATTGAAAAAGAGGTTCTTAAATTCAATGGGACCAACCTGGTTGAATCAAGGTTAAATAAAAATATTAAAATAAAAAAATAAATGAGATGCACTCTCACCCTGAAAAATTCTTTTGTTGAGCCAGCATCCAGTGTTCCATAGGCAATCTCTGTTTGCTTGGCCAAGTCTTCAGCACTCTCTATAGGAGACACCATCCTCTCCACTGTCAGGAATGCGGCCAAGTTGGCCGTATAGGATGAGATAATGATGAGGGTGAAGAACCACCAGACACCTCCAACAATGCGGCCAGACAGAGAGCTAAAATCAGAGGGATGACATCATTGGGGTGGTCAAAGGTCATCATCAAACGACAGAGGCGGCTTATTTTCGTCGTGAAGATTTTGACGGATGTTGAAGCCATTGTGATGACATATATTGCATCACACTGCTGCAATGCATCATCATTTTACCAGCGTTGGACAGCTTAGCCACATGTGTAAAAAAGAATAGATACTCGATCCTCCCATGGCCCACTCATCTCGCTGCCTCCTACACTGAAGCAAATGTAATTTTTCTCCAGACTGAACACATTTGAGTTTGACTTCAAAATGTGACGACAACAAAGAACATTTTAATTAAATACTGTAAGACATTATCGTACTGACAATTTTTAAATCGGTGATTCATCCGGTGTGCCTAAGGAAATTATAGAATTTTGCTTAAATAGTCCTAAAATGATTAACATGAAATATCTGAATTGTCCCTAAGTGTGAGTGTGAGCGCGGATGGTTGCTCGTCTCTGTGTGCCCTGTGATTGGCTGGCAACGAGTTCAGGGTGTACCCCGCCTACTGCCCAAAAACAGCTGGAATAGGCTGCAGCATTCGCGCAGATAAGCGGATTTGAAATTGGATGGATGGCTAAATGAATACTTTTCTGACAATGTCAATCCGAATTGAATATTCTATGACATGGAAAAAAATGTTCTTCATTTTTACACACACAGCGGCTAAATGTTCTATAACATGGAAAAAAAATGTTCTTCATTTTTACACACACAGCGGCTGAATTGCAGATTTATCTGTGCAACTCCAAAGAGTTAAAATCAAATCCAGATGTTTAATCTCTCACAAAAAATACTCGTAAACTGGGGGGGAAAAAATGGGCTAACTCCAAAGTAAACTGGGAAAAAAAGTCGACTAATAACAACGTGCCGACCACAAAAATTGGTCGACCAAAAAAAAAAAAAAAATTAAGCCACAAAACTATCAATTAATTATCCATCCATGCACACATAATCTGATCTGCTTTTCTGCATGAGGGGTCGCGGGCGTGCAGGAGCATATTCGATCCTACAACAAGAATTTCATTAGATTGTGCTATGTTGTTGCCAGTGAAGAAAAAAAAATCTTCCGATTAAGGCACAGCAAATAATGAACGCTTTTGGGGTATGCGAAAACAAGTTGGGGAAGAGAGAGACCCAAAAAGGGGGTGGCTTGCTTGAGAGACAAACAGAGAGACAGGCTGAGGGAGAAATCACAGAGATTAAAAGTAAACTCCTGCTGCTGCTGCTGCTGCTGGGCTCAGGAGATGCAAGTAAACAGCTGTCTAATCCTTCTCCTTCAATTGCCCTCTTTCTATCTAGTTCTGTCTTATGCTCTTCCCTCCATCCACCCACAATTTCCGCTGCACCCGCCTCTCCCTGTCTGCTCATGTGCTGGAGGTGCGGGGGGGAGGTTGACGGGTCTTTGTTGTGGTCCACACCTTGGCTCAGACACTGAGGCATTCAAGTGTGCACACACTCAGTCCCAATTGGAGTGTGCTTGCAAGAACTTCACTGCGAGAGAACAACCAGGTCACCATTTCCATCGTGTGTGTGCATGCGTGTGTGTGTGTGTGTGTGTGACAGGAGTCCTCCATGCTCAAAGAGGCGAGCACCTGGCACACCCAGACCTGTTTGTTCCTTTTTGTTTCCTCCCCGAGCCCATTCCGCGGAGCCTCTCCTGCTCTCATCAAACATTAGTGCAGCAGCAGACTACCTAAGAGCTTTGGTAAAACTAAGCTGTCTCATTACTGTAAGGGAACACCTCCAAGTAGCACTGTAATTTCTTAGCCTTGTAACAGCTATGATTAATCAATTATTCATTCCACTTCCTTTTTTTCTTTTTTTTAAATTCCATTTAATGACGAAATGAAATGGTAATGGAGGAACAGTTGGAGGACTGTTTACGCGAACACAGTTGTGGATGATCAAGGCTGGAATGATTAATTGATAAGTCATTTGGAAGGCATTCTATATTTTCAAGGGTAGTGAATTAGGAATGTTAATAGGGGATTAAAAAAAAAAAGCTTCTTGCTGCATGCGAGATACGATGGGAGCATACTGGGCTCAAACTGCCAATAAACCTTGTGTTGTAATAATGCCGTCACTCTCAAGAGGCACCGTGGGGTCACTACAAAGGAGCTGTGACTGTACCGAAGGGGATTGCCCATTATCACTGACATGTACACTATGTTGCTTGATCCTTTCAATCTCACTGAATACTGCAAAAGCCATGGCACGTATATAATTATGCAAACCAGGGGGAGCCTGTGATAAAATTGTGATTTCTATTTTTCATACCAAGGAGTTTCCTCGTACGTACAATATCCAGGGAAATATCAACTGTACTGCTGCAAATGAAAATCAAATTTTTTTATTTTCCCGGATAAACGTCATTTAATCTCTCAAGATTGACTGCCTTCGTATCCTTGAGACTTGAATTTTAAAAGCATGGGGGCCTACTTGTAGCTAGGTACCTATACCCCGTGGCATTATGGCAAAACGTGTTTGCGAGTACATTTGAACGTATTTGCCCGGTCAAAATAATTTTTTTACTCCGCATTGGCAGCCCCACGCTTCCGTAGTCCAGCACACGTACTGCCTGCTAAGAGGGTGTCACAAGCCTTTCTTGCACAAGGTGTGTCAGATAGGTTTCAGGACTGGTGTCAACAAAAGATCCATTTTCAAACCTAATACGAATAACCAATTTTCACATCAGTGTGGGCCAGACATTTTTCTTCATTTAGTGGGCGAGAAAAGGCAAGAGTTGCGGCAGGACAACTCGTGGCTGCTTCACCATGATGACAGTCCGCCTGCTCACGGTGCCTGAGCATCGGACAGTTCCTCAAAGAGACAGACATCGCCATGCTGGACCGACCTCCAACCTACCTGGCTTGGCTTCATGTGTTTCGTTTTCTTTCCCAGGTTGAAGGAGCTCATCGAGGGGACCCATTTTCAAGATAAAGACGCCAAGATAGCCCTGATGACGGAGCTACGGAAGATTCCAGAAAGCTAAATCCTTCCAGAAGTGCATGAAGGCATGGCAGAAAAGGCTGGGAAAATATGTTCCACTTCAGGGGCATATACTTTGAAGGGAGAGTAAATGGAGGATTAATTGGTTATTGGTGACTGTCGTTTGCATTTGGATTTTGTGACGCCGGCCCTAGAACATTTCAGATGTGTGTGCTGGACGTTTGCTTTCAACTGCAGCAAGAAGAGAAATAGCAATTTCTCGGACCAGCCGCCTCCATCAGATATGGTAATAAGGGGTGACTAATAACTTTCGGAAGTGTACAGAAATAAGACACATTACAAATAGATTAGGAGTCTTAAATGAGAATGAAACAGTATCTAATCATAGTATGACTTGAAGGCAATTTTGTTCCTCTGCTGCGGTTCGAAAACCCATCAGGATCTGAAATGGCGCGGCATGGTGGTTTGTGCAACGTCACGCTTTTTGTGCTTAATGAAGTGAAGTTGCAGTTAATGAAGTTTTTCCCTCGTTTTCTCTGAGGAATGTCAGATTGTTTTATAACTGTAAGCTCTTGTAGCAGAGGAATGCTTGGAGACGGTGAGTGAAATAAGAAGTGCGTCATAGACAATAGTAAGCGAGTAGGATATTTTACGTGGCTATTCGCATCTTTGGGATTATAACAATATCCCAACTAAAGCAGAGCTTTTATCTTGAAGACCCCACTAATCTGCAAACTTGAGCTGATAAGAGAAAAAAAATGATTTCATCAACATCCCTTCCTCCTACCATCTAAAGGTCAATATTTGCATGCTACTGCATGACACACAGTATAAAAATATTGCTGCAAGCGTGCCGCAGCTGCAGCGAGCGACGGTAACTGCAATTTTTCTCTTCACTAATGTGAATAAGTCATGACAGAGATGCGCTGTGGCTTTGTGCTGTTCAACTTTTCTGATCATTTGGCTCATGCACATACTTTCCGTGCTGACAAGCAGTGAGAGTGGCAAAAATCATGATGCAAAAGATCACGGAAGAGAAAAAGAATACGATGGAGCAGTTCACTCATTATATCAAACAATAACAAAATGTTGCTGGACCATTGCAACAATTTCATACGCGGTGAGAAAAGCTCACAGCGCTCTTCGAAGAACATCTCCTTACCGTTGCCATGGTAGCACACTCTGCACTCCAAACAGTACCGCTGAGCCGAGAGAGTCTTTAGTGATCTAATTTTTCTGCCTCGCTCTCTGCAAGTCCAATAAGAGCAACCGTCCCCAATGTGCGACGGAATTGCCACTACGGTGGAAAAGTCTCATTAGGTCTCCTCTTAAATCAGTGACTAACAGATGCGCGATTGACTGATAAGCCATTAACATGCCATCACACTTGATTGCGGCAAACCCCACTGCTGCCTTAAACAAGAGTGCGACTGTGTTTTAAATGCAGATGAGACATCGTATCCGTCTCTTTGCCCATGTACAAAGTGTGAAAATCGCACTGAGATCCTGTTGGAGTTTGTGCATCTCCTTTGTGTGCCGCACTGGTTTCTGGTTAGCGCGTGTGCGTGCATTTGTGATCACAAGTTGCCAGCGTGAGGTTTTTTTTTTCCAGATAAATAAAACACAAGTGGTGCTGCGAACCAAAATGAACTCACCGTATGAATAAATCATTGCTCCCCAATCGCTGTGACAGCAGCTCACGAATGCCATAATTGTGCCACTCAGTGAAATGTAACTCGATTCAAGATGTTGTTGCTAATTATAATGATACTTAAAAACAATAAGATTTGTGCATAATGAGATGAGCAATTCTCTTGATTGAAAATACAATTTGTGCTTCTCCATTTACTGCCAGGCAGTAAGCATAACTCATACTGTTTTCTCATGCAACTCCAATTTGGGTGGGGTAGTATCGTGAAATAAATCAGCAAAAAAAAAAATCAATACTTCACGCTTCAGAATATGCACGAGTACATGCAGCTTAATCAGATAAAAGTTTATTTTAATAAATTCTAAATAAATTGCGATTCAAATGTTTATTATCAGTGATTGAAACCCGTTTCAAAGGCAACAAACAAAGCATGCATCAAATAGAAAATCTGCTCATAAGTCCACAATTCTGCACACATTGCACCCATTTAAAATGGGCCGAATCTTCTCACCACTTCTTCAACTGTGAAACCCTCTTCTGTTATTGACTCTTGTTTTGAGCTGTGCCGTACCCACACAGGTGTTGACAATTGTTTGCAGTGCGACGGTGTGCAGCGGCATCTCCATCACTGGCAAAACAAAGATTGTCAGCATTCAAGGCGATCTCAATGCAGAGTGATAGCAAAGTGACATTCTGCAAAGAGTGGCAATCCCACAAGTCAGGACTCTGACTAAAACGGTACCTGTCTAAAGCCAGGTCCACACATGCCTAGAATGGAGCCGATTTTGAGCTCGATTTCCCCACTTCCGAATAAAGTAATTCAAAGGCCAGATTATTTGATGTCTCGAAAACAAGGATGCCGATCGATTATCTCAATCATAGGAATAAATAAACAATAGAGGGAGTCTTGGCCATCTCTTCCATTCGTTTATATTGAGGTCACGATGTTCAGCTCCGATAAATTAATTGTCGAATTCTTTGCAGATTTTCATGGACCAATGCAGTTATAATATCAGGCACGTAGACAATTTTATAATCCGGTATTTCATGACATTATACCACCGGTAGAATGTTTGCCGTCAGGCACCTCTGAGGTCCAAAATTTGGACTTGATTGGCTTGAGTCACCCACTCTTATTAATTCAGCTGAGCTGATCCAAGTGCATCCTTGAAGGCAAAATACTGCTCATTATCTAAAAAGAAAAAAAAAACAGCTCAACTTCAACATGCTGGGTTCAAGTTAGAGTTTAACACAAGACTATCAATATAGACGCTGTGGGTAGTATGTGTCACCACCCGCTTCTTTCGGTGGTTGGTAGGTTCATAGAGGACACATCAAAATAAATCACAGATCACATACACCATCCTCACAGGTGACATGTGATATATCCTTTACCACCAGGCAAGAGTGTGAGTGACAGAGCTCATTAGTTTCAGTCTCGAGTCATAAAAGTGGAGCAAGGCAGACAATGTAAGAGGGGAAAGCTTAATGGGTTGGCAGGGAGGTGGTATGCAGGCCGCACGCACATGCTCCCACACGCCAACATGCACACGGTTGAACTGGGCTCTGCGCTGAGACCTCATTGCCTTCTGGGAGAATATGGGAAACGCCATTGAGAACAGTTGGAAGGTGTTAGAATTAATCGACAACTGACTATCCAATGAATCGATGACAGTTTTAACGATCGAGTAATAGTTTGTAACTGAAAATTGTCCAAGCTCCCTGATTTCAGCCACTCGACAGTAATTATTCTTTGACTTCTGTAGTTCTTCAGCAAAGCGCACTGAGTACCGTATCTTTTGTGTTTCATCGAAATTGGACCTTGGCAAACATCTGGTTTTACTTTACTAAACACTGATGGAACATCAAGTAGGACATCAATGCCTCATAAGATCATAATCAATTCTAACATATACTTGACAACTCATTATGATAGTTCTGTTAAAATAACTCTTAATTAGACCGCTAAATCACTTGGCCGTAAATGCCCCAAAACCTCACAAAAAACTCAATGTCTCCTCCGCAGCAGCAAACATAAAACTGTCGCGTGTCCATCGGAAGCGCAGGTGAAACACACACACATGCTTCTTCCAATCACAATTCTCAAAGCGACCACCTATATTTCTGATTAAAATGGCACAAATGTTTGACTGAATGCATGATACATACAATATTTATTGTCTTGAAGCGTCTCCAAAAAAAAAAAAAAAAAAAAAAGGAACAAGCTGTGTGCAGCCGGAATTTCCCCCCACAAACACACTTCTTCCAGTCTAATTCTCACAGTGGCCATCTAAATTTGAGCTTGATGAGTGAAAACGTTTGAGTTTATGTGTTGCATTTGTTGTATTGGAGCGTCTCTTGAATTGAAAAAAACGAACAAATCCAAAAACACACAAAACTTGACGTATTCTCCCTGTGGGAGCAGGTGGTGTGTGCAGCCCGAAGTTCCACCGACAAACACGCTTCTCCCAATCACAAGTGTAACAACAGTTTCCTGTCATTATGTGGCAAAAAAAAGTCAAGTTTCCCTGGATGGTTGTTTTGTATCAACAACAAACAAACAAAAAACAATTTGAAAATAGACAATACAGAAAATCATCTGAATACGGATATGAAGCTAATTTGAAAGGAGACTCTTTTTCCATGCAGGAGCTGTTGTTTTGTTATGTTTTATTTATCGAGAGAGAAAGAGCGAGAGACACACACACACACATATTCATGCGCTCTACGACAACTGGCATGGACTGTATATTTCAACGTCATCTTTAACGGTCTCACGGTCACGTAAAAACACAGGCCAAAAGGGGCACAGTGGGTAATCGTCTGTGTGGAGGTTGGCTTTTCGACTCAGCTGAGCCTCACTTTGTTGACAAAAGGAAAATACATATGCCATCATGAAAATAACAGAGTGATTTTTCCTGGCACACAGAGGTGAGCAGGTTCAACAAGAAAGTGATTCAGCCATGCGGGGCAGATGGAAAGCCAACTTGATAAATTTGAAAAAAGAAGCACAGCTGAGGGAAGTGACAGAGAAACTGATTGTTGGAGAAACAGACAGAAAAATGGACACACAGATGGATGGATGGTGGGCATTTCGCCATCTGCAGAGATAAATAGGAGGACCCACCAGTCTGGACTGCGGCTTATGGGAGTCCTGACTGACAGTGCTGACATTTAGAAAGAGCACAGTAGACTAAGAATAAATATCAGTAGCGATGGAGTGTGCAACAAACAAAGATGCACACACACTTTACATATTCATGTCGCACCTTAGCGTATGACTTTATAACACCGAATGCCTACGCGCATGTGTAAACACACTCATCATACAGTGTAGCATCACACACACATGCACGAGTGAAGTTAGTGCTCTCTGAGTAATCGAAAACAGAGACGCCCAAGGCTGATTATTGCCATTTGTCTCTCAGTACATGTAACAGTGATAGGCTTAAGCTCAGTGCACCCCCAGCATGTTCTGTCTAATACAGGGGTGACCAAACTCGGTCCTCAAGGGGGCCTGTCCTGCCTGTTTCCGCGCTCACACTGACACCTAGGGACAATTTAGAGTGTTCAGTCAGCCTGCCATGCATGTTTTTGGAATGTGGGAGGAAATTGGAGTACCTGGAGAAAAGCCACGCAGGTCCGGGGAGAACATGCAAACTCCACATAGGAAGGCCGGAGCTGGGATCGAACCGACAACCTCTGCACTGTGAGGTCGACGTACTAACCACGTGGTCAGCCCGTATGTATATGTGTGTGTGTGTGTGTGTGTGTGTG